TGCACAGTCTACACGCTGCCTTTGAACTATCAATTCAGTTGAAATCAGTCCAAATTTCATTGCGTTGCCTATCCATTTTCTCACCTTTCCACTTTCCACCGTGTAGTTTTTTCTCTGTACTGTAGCGCTATCGAGCTCTCTCTCGTCTCCCTGTCTCTCCTGTTCGTGTGCTGCTCACAGTGTGCTGCTGTGTCTCTGACTCCTCCCCCTTCTCTTCACTGAAGCGCGCGCGCGTGTCTGTGTCTGCGTGCGTGTGTGTGTGTGTGCGTGTGCGTGTGCGTGCGTGCGTGCGTGCGTAACCCTCTCCTCCCTCTTCTACCACGGATCTTGACCAATCACGTGCGGCTTTAACCGAAAGGGGGAAAAAACAGGAGGAAAAAAAAAAGTCGGCTCCCATTAAAGCGGCTCCCTCTTAGGAGCCGGCTCATGTCGTTCACTTCAAAGAGCCGGCTCTAAGAGCCGGCTCGTTCGCGAACGACACATCACTAGTACGCATCAAGTTACGAACTTCAGGTAGCAGTATATCATTAGCAACAGGCTTGGAGCTTTTCTGACACACCTAATACATAATATTAAAAAAATTTACTTTTATAGTCAAGTACATTTCAGAGGCTGTTTTTTTTAACTTTAATAATTAACTAGAGCATTTCTGCGTTTTGTTTGTGTAACGACTATAATCACACCAACAAAAAAAAACAATTTGGTTAATAACTGGGCTATTGCTAAAGTAGTACTCAAAGTAGTTTGCAAATAGAAGTACAGTTACTTGCATAAAAAACATTTTTCCCCTTATTGACGAACTTAAACAGGAAGAAACGCGGCGCAACTAGTTGTCCTGCTCTGGAATCGACTTGAATGACTGGCTGAAGTTTGAAGATAACCTTTTTTTTAATTGTCTTTTTTTTTTAACCATACTACGTCACTTCAGCAATTCCAGGAAGTCAAGCACTATCAAATAGCACATTCTTACGCCGATTGTGCTCTCTTTTTTCCACCACTTTTGCTCTTTTTTGTTTTTAGGACTGCTGCAAAACGTCACGGGGAACTAGCTTAACATTTGTGCTAGCGTCAAAACTTTTGGTCGCCTTCTGCCTCGCTCTCACATGACAAGCTATCCTTCCGCGATAGCTTGCTTTTTGTTACGATATTATTACGCCTTTAGAGTTAGTTTAAAGTGAAATTATGGCCAGCACGCCGCCGTCTTCACTCCAGCTGCGAGCGACAGATGTGCTTCGAAAAGAGCACCTGGACGACGGAGGTTTTGGAGAGGTGTTCCTGTGCTATCATGCCCGCCTCGGTCCTGTGGTGATGAAGACCATGTATACGGGCCCTCTTCGCAGTGAGTAAGTTGTTTTCATCGTGTATTTTGCACTGGGGATTTCCACTTTCCAGCATGCACACTGAAATTTGGATCACTTGCCAGTCAGACTGCTGCAGAGAGACCACTGATTATTTTCATAAATGATTTGGTTGTTCAGAAAACAGTTGCGAAAGTGCTTAGGGTGCTGGTAATCGGTGTGAATTTAGACATGGAAGAATGTGATACTACTTCCCCTATGTTGTCTCAACCATGGAGGCGGGGCTCCATGGCAAGCGTCTGGTGTCCGGTCCAGCGCCCATGGGGCTTTCAACCTGAAAATCCAACATGGGTCCCCCTTCCCATAAACTCACTTCATATGAGAGGGTCCAAAGGGGTTTGGGTGCCCTGTGAGCTGAGTGAAGGCAAAAGCCAGGGACTTTGGCAGTCTGATCCACGGCTACAGAAACCCGCTCAAGGGACATGGAATGCCGAAATGCGTTTCTTCCGCAGGGTGTCCGGGCTCTCCCTGGGAGACAGGCTGAGAAGCTAGGTCATCCAGGAGGGACTCAAAGTCGAGCCGCTGCTCCTCCATATTGAGAGGAGCCGGATGAGGTGGCTCGGGCATCTGGACGCCTCCCTGGGCATGACCCAGAACATGCTGGAGAGCCTGTGTCTCAGGGCTGGTGTTGGAACGCCTTGAGATCCCTCTGGAAGAATTGAAAGAAGTGGTTGAGGAGGGGGAAAGTCTGGGCTTCCCTGCTGACGCTGCGACCTGACAATGGATGGATCTTGTCTCAACTTCCCTATTGCATTCCGCAGTGAAACTAAAACTAATCTGCAACATCCCCTTTCAACCTCTTTCCACCTCAAACCTAAATGTAATATCTGCCTAGTTGTCTGAGTAAGTCAAATTACTTCAAATTGCTCTGCGTTCAGTATGAGTATTTGTTTGTTTTTTGTTTTGTGTTTTGTCCAATCCAACTGTCACCTCTGTTTTCTGCCATGTCAGTCTAATCTGCCCAGGGCCATCAGAATCAGCAGTGGTGGCTGGTGGAAATGAGCACGTACTATTCTGCCATCACTTAAATCTTCTCCATTCTCTCCCAATAAATCCAGGGACAGCAAGAGGTCTCTGCTGGAAGAAGGTAGCATCATGGCGAGCCTGAACCACAAGCGTGTGGTCAGGTTGCTGGGCGTCATCATGGAGGAGCGAGGCTGCTCTTTGGTCATGGAGTTGATGCCCAGAGGCAACCTGCTGGCCATGCTGGAAAAGGTGAATGCTGCGCCCGCTCCATAGTTTACAGTTTATGTATGATGAAGTCTAATATACTCTTTCCTGCTATATATGTAGGTCACTGTGCCGGTATCAATCAAGGGGAGAATTATCTTAGAGATCTTAGAAGGGATGGTGTATCTCACCGAGAAGAAAGTCGTACATCAGGACATCAAGCCGGAGAACATTTTAATTGACAAAGATTTTCACATCAAGGTAAAATGTTCCCCATTCTGTCATGTGGTTTTAGTGCTCTATTATATTGTACTTGTTTACTGTCATACCCTTGCACATGGGAGAACCACAGTGACCAATGCACTTTTCAGCTGTTTATTTAATGCTGGGGCAACAATAAAACCCAAAAATCAAATGAGCACATGCACTCAGGAATTGCTGTTTGCGACAACACTCACATACAGAGTCAACAATGTCACAGGTCACAGTCACGGCAATACGCACATCCTATTTATCCCATTTTAGATATATTAAATTATATTGATCCTATTTGGCAAGCAGGACTTTTTGTGTTTGTTGTTTTTTTTTTGTTTCTCTCCACTGTCTTATGATGTTCTACAGGGTTAAATTCTAGGGCCACTGCTGTTTTCATTGTATTTGCTGCTCCTGCGTTCCATCCAGCATGGTGTTTTCTTTCACTGCTACATGTATGCAGATAATAGTCAGATCTACTGTATGTAATGGCCCTTTAAGGAATTAGGACACTTTCTTTTTAAGGCCACTTTTGTCCTGTCTGTAAGCCAAAATCTGCAAGGCATGAAACTTCTTCAATCTTTTCATTGAAAACCGACAATATGGTGTTTGGTCCACTGTCCCTTTGTACATCTCATCCGCCTTGACATGAGGCCCCTTGGCATTTTATCTAAAGGCAACAGTCTTGATTTTTGGTTTGAAATTGGACAGTGATATGAAATTGGACCGGCAAATTGATGGTGTTGTTCAATCCATTTTTTTTTTTGAAAATCTTTGTTCTTCGTTAAATATATTTGCAAGGTCATATTGTCTCTCCAAATCGCAAATTTTCACCAATAGCGGATGGTTCTGAATGTTACCCCCAGCGATAAGAATCAGAATCAGAATCGCCTTTATTGTCGTTGTATTGCATACATATCGGGGATACATACTGGGGATAATCGCTTTTCCCCATTGGCCAGATTGCCGACCTTGGCCTTGCCACCTGCAAGACGTGGAGTAAACTCACTAAGGAGGAATCTCTCAAGAAAAGTCGCGCGGGCCTGTCAGTCAGGACGAGGGCTGCGGGCACGCTCAGCTACATGGCGCCCGAGCACCTGCAGAGTGTCAACGCCATCTCCACTGAGAAGTCCGACGTCTACAGCTTCGCAATCGTGGTCTGGGTGGTCGTCACAGGGAAAGAGCCCTATGCAAGTAAGATGGCATTGTTTCGAATTACTGAAATACAGCGTTGCAGATTTGTTTTCATGAAACTTCTACTTTTCTTTACTAATGAAGCTTATGGCCCACCATAAATGTCTTGATTTACACATTTCCTATACAGTACTTTTTCTCCTGTTTGTATGCACTTGGAAAACCTTCTGTCGCCCATGTTTTTCCAATATGTGCCTTCTCTACCCTGCACCTTACAATTGGATGAAGTTTGTTAGACAATTCGAAAAGTGTTAAGGGAAAAAAATGTGCCTGATATGGATCATCAACGTCGACCTCATCACTATCATAATTTCCATCTTTAAGGCTTGACTTGGGGCACGTGTTTGTTGATAAAGACGACATATTATTACAAAAACAGGGAGATGATCACTTACTTCACTGAAGCCAAAAACCAGAAACTTACTTGTGAGATAAAAGCAAGTTGTGCGAAAAATACTGAAACATTGAACACTGAAACAACAGTTGGACATTCAAAATTGTAGACAAGGCCAAATTAAGTTCACTAGTAAAGGTGAGTGTAGTTTTGGCTCATCTTCACATTTCACCGGAGAGTTTTGGTGAGTCATAGCTCCGGAAATCTTAATAAAATTAGTAAGACTGTTTTCTTTAGGCTTTGGAATTAACAGTGGTTCACTTGCATAATGTAACAAGCTAGATCAAACCAGGCATCTTTTTTTTTTTCTGTCTGTCCAGATGCCAGAAATGAAGATCAAATCAGCCAGTGCGTCCGCAACGGCAACCGCCCAGCGATGGACCTCATCCCCGACAACACGCCGGCACAGATCGTAAACCTCATGCTGATGTGCTGGAAACACAACGCAGTACAAAGACCGACATTTCTTGGTAGGCTTGCCACCACACGATTAGTATATCATCCTTAAATGGACTTATTTTCAGATGTGCGACCTCTTTCTTCCTCAATCGACTTCATTCGTAACAGAGTGCTACAACCTATTTCGTCCCTTCTACGAGACGGAGCTCGCACCACGTGTGGAGAAAGATTTAGTTCATCTGCAGGTGAATATATTGCATACGTTTGGATTATGCTCACACCTTGACGACATTAAGATTGACTGATTTAATTTTTCGAATGCAGGCTCTGTACGAAGGCCCAGAGGAGCTTGTTGACAAAATGAAGTCTCTATCAATGACTGATGAATGTATTTCAACAGGTAAGCACTGATGGCTGTCCTAACGGCTTGAATTAGGTCATTAGGTATTATTCCATCAATGGATCATTTATATTTTGCCGGGTAAATATGGTTATTAACAATTTTATTGAATCAATTTGTGGCAAAAATGTTTGATTTTTGACAACAAATATTGGATCAAAATATTCATATTTGAAACGTGAGTTTAATAAGACGTGGCATAACATGTCAGAAGATGCCAAAAGTAATTTCTACTTTCATTTAAAAATAAAAAGGTTTCTTCGTAGGTACGAGAGATACGTCTCAATATCACGGGAATGCACATTTATTTCAGCTGTTCAATGCAAAACATGAAATTCATATCGTTTACAATCACGACACAAAGTGAAATATTTTCTGATTTTATTATCTATAATTTGAATGATTGGAGCGTACAGTTAATGACAAGCCCAAGTTTACAATTCAAAAAATTGGAATGTTACATACTGGGAAATGACAATATTTTTGTATGCAGTAAAGTAGATAGGAAAATGATTTTCAGAAGGTCAAGTCCTGTTTGTTAACTGAATCTATTCACTAAACACATTTCACTTTTGGAATTTAACGTGTCTACCACATTCAAATGTATTGCGAGCTCCTATAATTTTCTTCACAACTAAACAAACCACCTTGTTTCAGCAGAATAGAAAGGCAAAAGAACATGTGGCACTCAACATTCAAATAAGAAAAAAAAAAAACAGCCTATAAACCTGCTACATCGCTGACGTGTGAACTCAATGAATTAATTTCAACTGTTTGAACTGCTGTTGATGTCAAATGCTGCGCATGATCAGAAATAAAAAATGATGTGAACTGTTCTTACCTTATAGATTGTCCAGCTTTTCTGGAGAGCACAGAAAAAAGTGTCAATGGGCCGGTTGAAGCCAGTATTGAGGACATCGATGCCATCTCATTTGAAACAAATATAGAGTCAGGGGCAGCCCACATTGACCCAGAGGTCTCCTTGGAGGAGAAACTGCAACAGGAGTTAGACTATCACAGACATGGCAGCTACAAATGCGACAGCCAGTCTGACATTATCAATAGCCAGGCCCAGAAAAACTCCCCAAATATCCTGTCTAGTGTTACCAATAATAACAGACCTAGCCAACCGGAGCACAATACTCCTTTCGTGTCCTCTGTCCATTCCTGGACAAAAGCGGAACCTGTGCAGCCCAGCAGCCAGGAAGATGCTCGATATCATCCTGCTGCCCGCCTCCACGAGTCGATGACCGCTTCCACGCCAAAGTCATCCCTCTTACAAACATCTACCAGCGTGAATTCCCTGCCACCTTTCAATCAGGAACATCCAGATTCCCACTATATCCGCCAGCAGTCCTGGCCTACCTCCTCAGTGTCGGAAACATTAGGGTATGCTCACGACTTGAAGAAGGGTGGAGTGTCACAAGATTCCGGTACATGGACAGGTAGACCTCATTTTGAATAGCCGTGATGTACACTATATGACAATTTCTGATGACGCTAACTTAACTTGTGTTGATCTTGAAGGCTCTCTTCGCATCAGTAATGCAAGGGGAATCCAGATTGGTAACAACAACAACCTCAGTATCCACAACTACGATTCCACTCAATGTTTTTCATTTCTTCCGGGAAACATATGGACCAGCTCTCAGCTCAGAGAAGGAATTCAGAAATATGGTAAATCTTGTCATTTCATTTTGGTTTTATTCCAGTTTATTTACATGTTTAATGCAAACAGGATTTATTCTAGATCCTTAAGAGTAAATCAACCCAAACATTTTCTTGACAATATATTCTTTGCAGCCTTTTCAAACTAAACACGGCATTCTGATTAATATTGTGTTTGTGGAAAATGAGTTAAGCAGTAAAATCCAGTAGGCGGGGTACACCCTGAACTGGTTGCCAGCCAATGGCAGGGCACACATAAACAAACATCCGCGCTCACACTCACACTTTGGGACAATTTTGGGGGGTTGACTTCCCCTTTAAGGTTCACATTGTTTTTATTACATATTCAGTGTTGCATTTACCTGAATATTGGCCTTGATATCTTCTTTAAAATCAGGACTATTATTTAGGTTACTCCAAGTAACGCACATAAAACATATGGGATCAATGATGGATCCTTGTGGAACACCGCATTTAAAGGTGCTTAGCTGCTAAGCAGTGGTAAAACGTGCGTTACTTTCCCTTTTCACGTGTAGAGAAGTGTGCTGTGACCGAAGAGCACCTTGAAGTTCTGAGGAAAAACATTGGTGCCAAATGGAAGTTGTACGCACGGCGTCTGGGTTTGAGCGACGTGGAAATAGAGACCATCGAGCATGACTTCTCCCTGGACGGCCTAGCGGAGATGGTGCACCAGACGCTGCAACGCTGGAAAATGAAAGAAGGAAGCCTTGGCTGTACAATTGGGAAGCTCTGCTACGCTCTTGAAGGCGTCATAGACGTTGATGTCATTCAGAAAATATTGAACATATGCGCTTCTACTTCCAGTATCTAATGAAATTCTGTCTTACGTAGTTCCCCTTAGATTTGCCAAAGTCTCTTTTGATGCCTATAGTTCCAATCAATGTAATGCCTTACTGTGTATTACGCTGGGATTAGGGTGCTCCTCCTTCAACATGAATTCTAATTGGTCTAGAGCCATGTAGAAAATCTGTTTCAAAATATTCAACTCTTGTTTGAGAATATTTTTGCATTTTGATGAATCATCATGCTTGTGAGACAAAAGTTCATGTATCAACACCGAAACGGTTTTCTAAGATGTGGGAACACACAAACGTGGCAAAAAAAAAAAAAAAAAAATCGGCAGGTGTGTTTACCGCTCTTAAAGGGCCATATTCTTGCGCTCTATTCTGGCAGCGCAGATTCATTTCCGCAAATGAATGCCAGATATGCACTCAGGGTGAAGCAACATTAGCATGCATCCGTTCCCTGACAAATCTACATTTTCTAGACAAATTAAGCACTTTTCCTCTTAAGAATTCAAGGCCTGTCATGCTGTAAATCCAACAGCCTGTGAAGGTGAAAAAAAATTTCATTGCAAGTTTGGATTCAGTTACAACATGCGTTGCCACACATTGAAAGAGACTCCTAGAAGTCCATTCAATATTTGTCGAGAGACTGAACCATCGATATTTTTTTGAGCCGATCAAAGAGGCGCTGTGAGTCGACTTGTAACAGTATTTTTGTCGTGATAATTACTGGCAAAGAATATCGACAGCAGCGGTCTTATTTTCGCTTACAAATGCCATGAGCTGCTTCAGGTATAGTACCGGCATTAAAAGACAAGCTTTTTTAGTTTTTTTGTTTGTTTTTTTTTTAAGCCCATGTTGGAATTGCTTCCATGTTGGTCATCAAAATATGTGAATGTGATCAAATGACTTGATTGCTCTGTCTTGCAAGAAAGTTTGGGCACTGATCCAAGGAAGGACAAGCACACCCCCTTCTTGAAATGATGGATCTCCAAACATCCCTTCAGTGATATCTCTCTCTCTCTCTCTCTCTCTCTCTCTCTCTCTCTCTCTCTCTCTCTCTCTCTCTCTCTCTCTCTCTCTCTGTCTCTCTCTCTGTCTATCTGTCTGTCTGTGTGTGTGTGTCAGACTATCGGGCCTTTGCTGAAATCAAAATCACTTCTCACGTTGCCTTTGTATTAAACTTTTGGCATGTGGTTTCAGTTTCACAGCACAGAAACTGAAGTCTTCTGTCCATTAGATTGCTGACCACATTAATAAATGCCATGCTGTTGATTTTTCATTCGCTTTTTGTCACATTTGATCCTCTAGATTTCACAATTTTCTCACATACACTTGGGAAAATTAAACTCTTGAAATGTGGTATGGTGTCCTTCAAGGTTAAGCTGCTGGTCACTTGTTATTTGCCATCTACACAGTGTCACTGTTAGTTTGTACACAATGACGCTGTGCTAATTTCAGACCCCTGCAATCATCATCAGCTGAGATAGTGCAAAAAAATGTTCATCTTTCCTGGAATGGGATATGCATTGATTTGTTTTTAAAAAAAAAAATTACGATTATTTTCAGCGGATATAAAATGTCTGCACTCCCTGTTCAAATGACAGGTTTTTGAAATGTAAAATAATGAAAGATTGGGTCCCTAGGGTTTATGTGTGTCTGATTCAATTGGGGGGGGTCAGAATTAAATGTTTTGAAACTGTTAAGTCAAACAACAACTGAGATCATGAAGTTGCATAAGTGTGCACACCCTCATAACGTAAATTCTGAACATAGCCACACCCCTAGTTATAAGAGGGTGTGTGCAACCAACCACATTATCTCTGTTGTATATTTTTACTTCTCTTGAAAAGATTTACTTTTTTTTATGTTGCATCAATTGTGGAAAACAAGTTTTTGTTAAATGATTAATTTTTTTTAAATCACAGAAACCCGCCATTTAAACGAGGTGAGAGGTTTTTTTTTACACTTAATGTACTGGATGAAGATTGAGTCATCTCTTGCAGCCTTTTGTCACATACGTTTTTTTTAAATACATAGATATATTGTTGTACATTTTTTCATGCTACAGCTTCACAAAGACAGTGTAACTTCAATGCTGTGGATCCAGTTTCTCAACTAAATCAATACAATGGCACCCTGCTCTCTCAAAGTGAATTTTCCTAATCAATGACTATTGACCCAATCAATCTGCAAAACAAACATTGCTGTATAAAATAAGCACAAATTACAGAGAACATTTATAAAAATTGCAGTTGTATATAAATGTGCAACGTCACTGCCGTTATAATGTGGTTATGTCTTCTAAATGAAGTTTATATACGTGCTGATATTGATCAAAGAGAATTGTATATACGGTGAATGGTTTAACACACAAAATATTGATGGCAGTTTTGAACTAGCAGTTGCTCAACTGGAATGTGTTTCCACAAAAACAGCGACTTGAACACAAACACAAAAATAGTCCTTGTGTTCGGGGTTATACATGTTTTTCACAGGTGTCAAGCCAAATTTACGACTTTGTAGCGTGACTTTTTCGCCTTTCAATAAATGTGACCACAGAGTAGGCCATACAATATTTTCTTTATTTGTGATCATATTTAGCAGCATTTGAGAACGCAAACTAGGGTACATAGCTTATCTATACAAAAAAGTACTTTTGTCATTGTTCCAAACGGTTCATTCCCTTCTCCGTTTTGCTCTAAAATTAAAATGACAAAATCCTTTCTTCATCATCTGTGCTTTATTTCAGGGCCAGTCAATCACAGGGCACACTCAACGACTATTAGGGTGGTCCACATTTTCATGGCAAAAAAAAAAGTTTGTCGGATTCGTCGGGCCGGGTCGGAATTCTTGTCGATACTATGGTACAAGGTTCTGTGCAAAATTTCATTCCGATCTGATGATATTTTCCCGTGCCGCAAAGCGGCCAAAGTTTCCACCATAACAACTGGTCTCAATAGGGTGAACATGTGTATTTTAACCGTGTATTTTGCCATGCGTGACACTGGCTGGGCTGAATGTTGCCCGAACGATCACCTCCTGACTAACTAACCATTCCATCGCTGCTCTCAGCAGCCGGAGACAAACTCAAACGCACGCCTAACACACAACGGTCACCCACTGGCGAGCTAATATCTTTCAATTGAAGTCGAGAATCGCCGGAATTCTTACTGGACGCTGAGCTGAGGACGCTTTTCG